TTTTTTTTTTTTTTGCAGGAACAAACATAAATACAGTACGAATTAAAAAAAAAACCACGATGATCGAAAAAGTGAAACTAATTGAAAAACAACTAAAAATAATCAACTTTTGCTAAATTTGAATTAAACTGTGCAAAGAGTAACTTCAAATTTTGCAATATGATAAAAAAAATTATTATACTAATTAATTAGAAATGTTACACAAGATTTAAAATATGTATAAAACTTTAGTATGACAACCTGTTTTGGAACTACAGTATACTTGATATGACAACTATTTTGATTTGTTCTGGTGTGCTTAACAATATTTGTAACTTTCATATTTCTGTTAATTCTTTTTAAGTAGTATTTTGCACAAAATGCTGTGTGCATGTTGTTTTAGCTGGCACACTTAATAGTTTTGATGGTGAGATACTTTTGCATTTATAACCTTACCAGTTTACGGTAAATAAAAATAACAAAATAACAGCAGCAAGAAACATTTGTACACAAAATAAAAAATGGAGTTTTAAATAATAAATGAGAAGGAAACTTTTTAAAAACAAATCACTGGTGTACAATGTTATTTAAATCCAATTTTTCATTGGTACAGAATGATAAAAGAAACAGAAACGTGCATTACTGCTGTAGTAACGAGTGAATATGTCATTGTCCTGTGAGGGCTTCCGTAGCAAGTTCCGTGTCGACATTGTGTATAAAAATAAGGTAGAATTGAGTTTTTGGTGGTACATATTTACCTTCGTTTCGCTTGCCTCGATGTGTACTTTGTCTTTAAACCTTTCACATGTGAGACACCGCCGGATGCCTTTACAAGCGCATGAATTACCACCGTCAGTTCCGTCAGAAGCCATCGTCGTGGTACATCTTCTTCTTACGCTGGAAACGGAGACGCCAAAGAGGCATACCTCATCACTTTCGCCATCTATCGGAGAGAAGCCGCAAATAAACAAAAAATGGGCTAAACAGCACTTTACAATTTATTATGAGTTCAAGTTTATTTTAAATATTCTTATTTTATCTACGTGTAGCTCTCTGTACTAAAATCATATACTTAAAAAAACCCCAACTAAAACAACTTGTAGCCTTTTGCCTTGCAGACAAAACACAGGGTGACATTCCTAAAGTTACCGTTCAAGCCACGCCTACCGGATGTAGACACTTTTTCCCCGGGAAAGATCAGTTTCTGTTAATGCCTTTTGCTTTCATCAAAGTCTCCGAAGTGTTTGTAAGTACTTTTATGCGTGAATTGTATAGAATTATTGAACATGAATAAAGCAACATTTTATGTACGGTTTTCCTATGCGACATAACTAAATAATTCGTCGATTATTATAACAAATGCCAACTGTGTTTTCGTAGCTAGCCGTCACTCCACAAATTCAACCCTCTCAAGCTAATTATTATTTTTTTTTTTAATATCGCCAACCAATAAATTATGTTGTCACTTTTGTCTGTTGAAATCGTTAAACCATGTTGTTACACGATCAATGTAACTTTAAACCTAAAATGTTGACTCAAACCTGTAGTAAAACGTTGAGTCCATTTAATAATTTCTCACGTGAAAAGTCCCCCCCCCCCCTCTGGAACCACTTCCGGTGAGTATTTAATTTATTTTGTAAATATGTTAACATCAAATGGATTTTGCTTGCTACGAATACAAAACACACCAAGGAGGATTGGAGCCAAAACTACCTCAAAACGCTCTTGATTTGGAAATTGTATGCCTATTTTTATTGTTGTCATCACTCTTTGTTAAAAAAAATCAGGTCTCTCTTGTAAATGAGTCCCCGAGGCTCAATGGGATTAACCTGTCTAAATAAAGGTTGAATGAAAAAAATAAAATCTGGTTCAATCTTCTGAGTTCTGAGGCTCAATGACACTAACCTGCTGTATAAATAAAGGTTGTTCTCCTCAGTCATTTTGAACAATGTGACTCTCTTGAAAGCTTTTTTTTTTAACTATACATAGCAATAGTATCATAAGTTGCTCAAGGACACATCCACCATTACAGTTTTTTTTAACATCTTGGCACTTCTTTTCTGCCTTATTAATTTCTGAAATGTGACTGTCCCTACAGAAAATCAATGGAGAAAATAACAGAGAAACTTTTACTGGAGAAAGCTTCTCCAAAAGCCACCAAGCTGGAGCAAATCAAAGCGCTGAAGTAAGTTTTTTCACCTTTTTGTAGTATAAGTTGTTTTTTTCCTGCCCTTTATACGTTCCTGGTTGGACAAAGTTGGAAATGTCTTGGAGAGATGGCAGTGAGGTTTTTGACCCAAATATTCAATTTGAGGGTGAGAAAATGCCTGAGTGAGGAATGGAGAAAAAGTGCCAAGTAGGTATCTCTGCAGAGAACAAGGGTGATGTATAGAGTTGTAACAAATACAGGAATACAGGGGAATTGATCTAAAACAGTTAAGTCTGGTTTTCTGGACGGGTTCAAAACAAAAAAAATAAAAAAATTGTAGAAACATTTTGTCTTTCATCCGAAAAATTCTTCAGTCTGAGGAGCTGTATTCATCCCAAAGATCCAGTCCCCCGGTACAAACAGAGTAATATTGTGTATGCTGTTCAGTGTCAGGAGGGTGATCAGTCTTGCATCGGGGAAACTAAACAGCCACTGGCCAAAAGGATGGACCAGCACAGAAGATCATCATCATCATCAGGCCAGGACTCTGTGATTTATCTCCAGGTCAGCAGTCACTCGTTCAGGGATGAAGATGTTCACATCCTTGATAGAGAGGAACGATGGTTTGAGAGAGGAGTAAAGGAGGCCATCTTTGTGAAAATAAATCGTCCATCATTAAACAGGGGTGGAGGCCTCCGGGTTTAACTGTCCCCCTCTTACAATGCTGTTATTGCTAGTATCACTCAACCCCCTGTGAATAACAAGAAAGGGTGCTAATGATCCATTGTTTGATTGACGTTCCTCTTTGATCATGTGAGCAGCTGGTTTTGGTTGTCAGCAGCAAAACTGGTTGAGCCTGTACAAGAAGGTGCTATTTATAAGACTGAGCTGAATACATCACCTCAGACTGAAGAAGTCTTTCGGATGAAAGATGAAACGTTTCTACAATTTTTTGTTTTTTGAATATCCAGAGGACCTGACTTAACTTTTTTTTTTTAACTTCTACCTGGATTATTGAGCATGCATCAGGACAGGGGAATTAAGTTGATGAGCCACACAACGAAGATCTGGGAGAGAGTTGTGGAAGCTAAACTTAGGCGAGAGGTGACTATCTGTGAGCAGCAGTATGGTTTCATTCCGAGAAAGAGCACCACAGATGCCATCTTTGCTTTGAGGATGCTGATGGAGAAGTACAGAGAAGATCAGAAAGAACTCCATTGTGTCTTTGTGGATTTAGAAAAAGCATGTGACAGAGTGCCGAGGGAGGAGGTGTGGTATCACACAAGGAAATCTGGAGTGGCAGAAAAGTATGTTAGACTGGTACAGGACATGTATGAGGACAGCAGGTGAGATGTTCTGTAGGAGTGACAGATAGCTTCAAGGTGGAGGTAGGATTGCATCAAGGATCGGCTCTGAGCCCCTTCTTGTTTTCTCTTGTGATGGACCGACTAACAGATGAGGTCAGGCAAGAATCCCCATGGACTATGATGTTTGCAGATGACACTGTGATCTGTAGTGAGAACAGGGAACAGGTGGAAGAGAACGTGGAGAGGTGGAGGTATGCACTTGAAAGAAAAGGAATGAAAGTCAGCCGTAGTGAGACAGAGTACGTGTGAATGAGAGGGAGGCCGGTGGAACAGTGAGGCTACAAGGAGCAGAGGACACAAAGGTGCAGGACTTCAAGTACTTGGGGTCCACTGTCCAGGGAAATGTGGAGTGTGGTAAAGATGTGAAGAAGAAAGTCCAGGCAGGATGGAGTGCATGGAGAAAAGTTTCAGGAGTGATTTATGAATAAAGAGTGTCAGGAAAGGTCAAAATGAAAAGTTTACAAGACAGTGGTGAGACCAGCTGTGTTGTATGGTCTGGAGACAGTGGCATTGACAAAAAGACAGGAGGAATGAAGATGTTGAGGTTCTCCTTTGGAGTGACAAGGATGGATAAGATTAGGAATTAAATCATGAGAGGTACAGCACAGGTTGAACAACTGGGAGATCAAGTTAGAGAGACCAGTCTGGGATGGTTTGGACATGTCCAGAGCAGGGACAGTGGGTATATTGGTAGAAGGATGTTAGAAATGCAGCTGCCAGGAAAAAGACAGAGGAGATGTATGGATGCAGTTAGAGAGGACATGGAGGTAGTTGGAGTGAGGACAGAGTGAGATGGAGGAGGATGACTCGCTGTGGCAACCCTGAAGAGGGAAAAGCTGAAAGAAGAAGTTGTGACGTAAATTTTACAGAGACAACAGAAGTTCAGGAGTTAATAACTTCATGCAAACACTGACCTGAGGTTTTTTTGTTTGTTTGTTTGTTTTTCAGTCTGTCCAAGATGGGGCTGAAGCTGCAGGACCTTCCTGTCAAACTGCTGTCCCGTCTCCAGTCCCTGGAGCGTTGGGATTTGTCTGGAAACCGACTGCAGGAGTTTCCAAAGAACTTGGAGCTTCGTGCGCTTCGATACCTGGACCTCAGTGATAACCAGATGGAGGACGTCACCACCCTGGAGTCTCTGAGCAGCTTGGAGGAGCTCAAGCTGGATGACAACTTTTATGTCACTGTGAGAACCTCGCTTTCTTACTGCTAATAGTAAAGTTTGATGGTCTTTGCTTCTGCAGCATTCAAATCAAAATCCTCCCTAATGCATATTCGTTTTTTTCTTGATTGCAAAATGTAGATAATTACGTCATGTTGCGTTAGTTATTTGCACTACTGCTCACAACAAGAAATGTTAGAGATCCGTTTGTAATGATTTCACATCTTTATGTAAAAAGTTTGTATATTTCCAGTCCATCAGTGGGCGTTTCTTATTACAGCGCAGACTTTTGGGATTTGAAATATTAGTTATTAAAATAACTGTTTTTCCAAAGGTCCGATTATGTTGAAGTTTTATCGCATAAAAAACAAAATATGATTTTGTGTTAAAAGTGTTAGATTTGCTCTTTAATGCTGATTTTGTTTTAGGTGAGTGACAATTATAAGCTGATGGTGTTACTGCCAAAACTGAGGATTTATAACGGCAAAGATGTCAGCACCACAGCCAACCACTTGAGATATGTGTATAGAGACAACCTAAAGACCAGGGTATGAAACTGTCATTTCATATTTTTTTCTACTTTATGATGGTTCTGTTCCAAACTTTATGCCCAATCATGGCTCTGAATGATATTACACTTGTAGTTTGGTTAGTTCACTTGTAGGCCTGTCGCGATAAACAATAAATCAATTATTTGCATGATAAATGAAAATTATTGACCTCGTTTTCATTTATCGGCTTTATTGTTTCTTCATCTCTCTCCTTCTACTGGACACCGGATGACAAAAGGCTCAACTCAGGTGTTCTTCACTGACCCCTCCCTTTCTCTTTTCTCTTTAAAATCTGTTTTAACCGTCCAACATCGTGCTTTTGGATCGTTAAAAGCAGCTAAGCTGGGAAGCTAAGCTACGAGCTAAGCTAACAGGCCGACTTCGCAACAAAAACCTCCGTCTTTTTGAAGCTCTAAAATTCACAAATGAAACCCGTGCCTTCGTGTAAAAAGTTGTTTTTTTCTGCAAAAAGAAGCTGAGAACTTGTTTACTGATTTTTTTATTAAAAGCTTTGTGTGAAAAATGCTATGCTAATGAGCTCAAATCACAGCGAGCGTCCGCCATTTTGAGAACCAAATAAAGGAAGGAGAGACAGCCCATGTCACGTCAATGAACCTCCTTCCCATTTTCTTAGAGACACGTTGCTCAACTAGCCGTCCTTCGGTTCAAACAGTCTTATACTGCCATCCAGTGGTCAGAAAAAAGTAATGCACTCAAAACAAAACATTTCTTCTTAAATTTGACAATAATTACTATTGTCAAATTTCAAACAATATTATCGTTTATCGCAATAATGTCTGAGACAATTAATCACCCAGCTAAATTAAAAGTTTTATACTACCATCCAGTGGTCAAAAAAGGTACTACACCCAAAACAAATTAAGCAACATTTCTTCTTAAATTTGACAATAATTACTAATTATTGTCAAATTTCAAACAATATTATCGTTTTTCACAAAAATTTCTGAGATAATTAATCGCCCAGCAAAAATGCAGTGGGAATGCTGAGTTGAACGACTTTGCTGAATCTTGTTAAATGGTGAATTGTTAAAGTCAAAACAAACGGAACAGACAATAAAACCAGCAAAACAGTAGCTAAAAACTATAATAAAAGGCAAAAAAAAAAAAGACACAATCGATGCAGCAGAGCTAAAGCTAAAAGCAGCAGAACAACGGCTACACTACGCAAGAACGATGAGATTCTGTAGCTAAAAATAGCCTACCGGTACATTTATGCTAAATTTAGAAAAACGACAATGAGAAGAACTGATTAATATAAATTCAATTAAAGGTAAAAGTAGCAAAAGAGATGCTAAAGTTGGTATAACAGCTAAAATTAACAAAATGGCTAAAAACGGAAAGTTACAAAACGGTAGCTATAAGCTAACAGAAGCGAGACGACCACTAAAAGTGGCAGAATGATAGCTAAAAGCTACAAATGGTGTCTGTTTTGCATCATCTGTGCTCCTGTCCTTCGTGGCACTAACTGTTGTATAATTTCAGATCGTTGCAGTTTGGGAGAAAAACTTCAGTCTTCCAGATCCCAGTACAGCTGAGAAAATGTCCACTTTGGAGAAGAACTTTGTGAGCGCTGCTGCTCATCAAGTTAAATTTGGTCCCAGTTCAGTCAGCGATTTCACCAAATGGAGAGTAAGCTCTGAATGTTATGCAGGGGTTCGTTTTTAATATTTACATGTTGTTGTTTTTCTTCTCAACTTCACCTTTTTTTATTTCTAGGTGGAGATTTTAGCAAAAGAGTTTCTGCGCTCGCTGACGGAACCAAAAGAAGACTTTGACAGCCAGGAGTGTGCCGACGTTAAAGAGAACTGTGTAAGACTTTGAAATATGCACAGCAGTATAATTTTATTGAATACGACTATTATTATATTTTGTTGGCAAAAAATATCGATTTAAAGAGGACAGAAGTGGCTTCCTTCATATTGTTGCTGCTTTAATTTAGTGGACTCTAATCAAACCACCAACATTTGTAATCATCAAAATAATTTCAAACGTCTTTGTCGTCTTCAGGATGTCGCTGCGTCTTCCAAAAGGAAGCGAACCGAAGCAGCAGCAGAGACCAGCGTAAGACTGATGCCTCGCAAGAAGTTGCGCTCAGATCTCACGACATCTCCGGTCGACAGCAGCCGTCTCAAATCCAGCCTTCGCCTAAAACACCAGGCAGAAACTCCGATCAGGATAAGCCCCCTCAAGACGAGCAGAACTCTCTCTACTCCCACCAAAGCACAGACGAAGGCAGAGGCGCCCAGGAGGAGTTCGAAAGTGCAACAAACTAAAGAGGAGAAAAGTCAAGTTGGACAGAAGGACGATTTGAGTAAATGCAGAAATGCTCACGCGCTTCCCAAAACAAAGACTCGGGTAAAGTGCACAAAATACCTCACCTGCTGACATTTCTCAACCATAAACTATCTAGAAGAAAAAAAAAAAAAGCTTCAGGACTTGCATCTGAATCGTTCAAATAGACTTAAGCTTATCACCTGGATAGATTTATAATAAAATAAGAAGAATTTTTTTTTTTTTACTGTTTTGTCACTGATGCCGAGTTTAAAAATACAGTATGAATAATACCCAAGACTGATTTTAAAATATAATACCTCATTATCCAGTTTATTATGCATCATAAACTGGATAAGAACATGATGGGGCTG